GGCTGGCGCCTTAGCCACTTGAGCTACAGGCGCCGAGCCAGGACAGGTATATTTTGAACTTTCACATACGTCTTTTTACTCTGCAGTGAATTGAAGCTATTCACATTCCTCACCAGCAGCATAGGAGGGTGCCTCTTTCCCTACATTCTCTAATAGAATGGAGCCAGAAGAGTATGGGGTCAGGTCAAAAGGGCCACGGATTTGGTGGCAAAAGGCAATGAAGAGTCACAGGAGGTGTTGAAATACTAGCTGGTGTCTTTTCAAACCAGTGCTTGCCCATGTGTTCTTTCTTAGAATTTTCCTCCACAGCTGTCATACTTTTTATCCTTCAGAATCCAGCTCCACACAACCTACCACCAGGAAGCTTTTAGGAACCTTTCATCCCTCCTCTTGGTGCTCACACTGTTGCCAGCACAGGCTCTGCATGAAGCAACCTATCCCCACGGGGAAGCTTTCTAGCAGGGCCCCGGTCCTGGAGGAAGGAGTATCCCAGGCAAGCTCCCTGACTCTGGATTCTCTGGATTCTACAAAGCTGCCCTGGCCTATCTGATCCACATAGGTTTGATTCTCTTTTGAACCTTCCCTGTTTGTCTGATCACTGGTATTCTGAACAGGGAATTCAAGTAAGGAGCAAACTAATACTGCATTTAATAGGACTTAGTTTAATTCTGAAACCAAGGAGTTACATTCTGAGTTCTTGCTCTAAAATGAAAACAGCACAATTTTCCAAGTGTGAGTTCATGGCTACCTTAGCAAGACACTTCTGTTTAATACAGTGAGGAAGCCACAAGCTTTTGAACAAGGGACTGACCTGACTAAAGCAGCCAATCAGCAACTGTCATACAGGATGAACTAGCAAAGGGATTTGTTAATAAGACAGCAAAACCGTTCAGGACAGATAAAAGTCAATAGTTTGAAAGTGCCAACTATATAAGAAAATGTGGTTGAATCAGGGTGAGGTCAACTGCAGCAGTTAAAAAGAGAACCACTTCGGAACACATTATTCTTAGTAAAGCATCACAAGAATGGAGAAGCATGAATCCTATGTACTCAATTTTGATATGAGGACAATTAACAA